TTGTATGCGTGATCTAGGGTTAGGGCTGAGTTTGTAGGAATGCCACAAGGGTTAGGGTCAGGCTTCATCTACAAATGTTCTAACAGCTACCGACTGTAACTACAAGCGGACATTCAAAAAAAGTTGTATTGAAAACCGACGCGACTTGTACAAATAGCTATCAACAGATGGGTGGCTGTGGCACTTAGATTAGATAACAGATATCAGCTGTACTTCAATATACAGCGCAACCACAGAGGCACGTGATGTATATATTAAGTGCGATGCGGGTATGCTAAATGTGGAATGCTCCTGTGGTCATGACCGTTAGCTGCAGGCAAAAAAACCATAGGGGCACACAGATGTTTATATCGAGTGCAATGCGGGTATGTCAAATGTGGTACATTCCTATGGTCATGACTGTTAGTTGTGGGCATGATCACAGAGGCGCGTGAAAGAAGGTGTCCTTGCAGTGCGGATACCTATCTGGAGTGCAATGTCTAAACAGTTGGAAATGTTTCATGTGGCACACACCTGGAGTTGTGTCCCTTGGTTGCAGTTGTGACCACAGGCATGTGAAAATGTGCGTATTGCCTGTGGGGACCTGTATTATAGTGGTCGGTGTGATTGCAATTCAGGAGGGCTCGTGATAACATGCAATCTGTCTCTGATTTCTGTGAGTGATGATGCTAATATCTTGCCATTCTATGACACGTCTCTTTCTGTGAGGGTGGATGCTAGTACCCTGCCATTATATGGTGTGTCTCTTTCCATGAGGGTGGACACCAGTACCCTGCCGTTAAATGGCACATCTCTTTTCGTGAGGGTGGATGCCTGTACCCTGCCATTACATGGCACGTCTCTTTTCGTGAGGGTGAACACCAGTACCCTACCACTACGTGACACATCTCTTTTTGCAATGGTGGATGCCAGTACTGTATCATTACATAGCACATCACTTTCAATAGTGGACATTAGTACTGAGGTGGTAGAAGATAGTATAAAACCATCTGCAGAAGTAAGCACTGATGACGAGTCATTAGACAATACTACAGATAGCAAGCTGGACATATGTAGACAGCAATGGCAATCAGCCAAAGAAGAGACAACATATTGGAGTGTGCTTAATGCAATGGTCAGAGTTGAGTCAACGATGGTGGTTTTGTAGCAAGAAGCTGAGGCTGCAGAACGGGCAGAATTTTTGAATTCGGCACTCTGAGTTAGGTCTAGCTAGAGTCAGACTACAAATTTTGTACTCTCTGGTGTTAATGAACTACATCGTGACTAGAATGGGGGTTTCAAAGTGGTTGTAGTGAAAACCAATGCGACTCACACAAATAAAGCTCAATAGAAGTGGTACAGCAGCCACAGGAGGCTGATGCATTATAGTTAGGGAAGTGAGGGAAACACATAGTAATTCTAAGATGTAGAAATGAGTATCATTAAAATCTATGCATAAAATAGTGCAGAATACTCTCTTAAACCAAGGAAGTCTGAGTAAAACTGGCTGAGATACCTCAGTTTTGGATTAGAATGCTCAGCCTAAAGTGTAGAAAAATCGTAAAAATGCCAGTTAAATTGTAGAATCACCCTATAAAGCACATAAACATGCTATATAGGGCGCCTTATTTATTACATACAGTGTACATTTGTTTTTCCTGGAAGAAACAAGCAGAAGTGAGAGAAAACTGAGAAAATGGATTGTAGCACTGCAGGAAGTAATGCTGATGTTTTGAAAGTAACACCATCAGATTCAGCATAAAAATCCGGTCAGAATGCCTACCGGGTGTATCAAAATCCGAGTAGAATTGAGTGAGCTACAAACCATGCAAGTTTGGCTAGAAGTGTGGGAACCAGTTGCTAGAGACTTGCCTAAATTGGTTAAGGTTTGAGCGGACAACGAAAAAAGTGTCGATGCGATCCAAAAAATCGAGCGCATCGACACTTTTTTCGTTCTCAGCGCTCTGGTGGCTGAAGAACTACTAAATGCAGCAAAATGTTCAAAGTCAGCACTTCTGTTTCTGGACTAAGGAGCCGTTCACCAGGTATACCCGGGACCACTATAAAGCTTGGCTTCCAGGTTATTAGCTTCATTAGTAGCTGTTGATAACAATCTCTTGTATACATTTTTTGTAGTGATTCTTGTAGGCACATTAGTAACAGTTTCTAGCATCATTTTTTGTAGTGATTCTTATAGGCACATTTGTAACAGCCTCTAGTGTCATTTTTTGTAGTGATTCTAATAGGCACATTTGTAACAGTTTCTAAGGTCATTTTCTGTAGTGATTCTTATAAACACGTTTGTAACACTTTCTAGTGTCATTTTTTGTAGTGATTCTTATAAACACGTTTGTAACAGTTTCTAGTGTCATTTTTTGTAGTGATTCTTATACACACATTTGTAACAGTTTCTAGTATCATTTTTTGTAGTGATTCTTATAGGCACATTTGTAACAGTTTCTAGTGTCATTTTTTGTAATGATTCTTATAGGCATATTTGTAACAGTTTCTAGGGTCATTTTTTGTAGTGATTCTTATGTATTAAGAGTCAGTAGATGAATTTGTAAACCACTGTAAGGCTCTTTAATCCTTGTAAAATGAATATTAATAACTTTTTAGTCATGTTTTTATATAGATTTTATAAAATGACATAGTAATATCATTTTGAAGTCCTAGCTACTTTTTAGTAATGTTTTTATATTTTTTTGGAAAACAACATAGTAATATCATTCTGAAGCCATTTTGACGCCGAGTCTTTTAAAATGCATACTAATCACTTTTTAGTTATGCTTTTATATACATTTTTCAAAATGACATAGTAATATCATTTTGAAGCCATTTTTCAGCTCAGTCTTTTAGAATGCATACTCATAACTTTTTAGTAATGTTTTTATATAGATTTTATAAATTGACATAGTAGCGTCATTTTGAAGTCATTTTTTAACTCAGCCTTTTAGAATGCATACTAGTCACTTTCAAGTAATGTTTTGGCATACTTTTTGCGGAACAACATAGTAGTATCATTTTAAAGCAATTTTGAAGATGATTTTTATGAGAGGTGTACTAATAATTTTTAGTAACATTCTTATATAATTTTGATAAAAGGACAGAGTGATATCATTATAAAGTCATATTTTAGATGATCCTACTCTGAGATACTTAGCAAGATGTTAGACTATTATTAGACAGCAACAAATAAATTATTCTCTACATTGTACTAGATTATCAACTAATATTAAATGGTAGGCACAAGTAAATGGTAGGCACAAGATTGGTAGGCGACATAGCAGACATATAAGACTCATGTGATAACATGCTATATTATTGTTATAAAGTGTGTTGCACACTCTTATATACTATTATAAGATTTTTATAAACTATGATCATATGACATCTTATAAGTGATTCAAGAGTATATTATTATCAGAAGCTTGCTATATATTATTAAGCAATATACCAGTTGTTGAATAACATTATAGACTGTTATAATGCTTTTATTTAAAAAGAACTAGCATTTTGGGGTAAATGTTTTATATAGACAAATAGATGACATGTTGGACTATTGCAGAACTGTTACTAAATATTTCTAAGTGAACTATTAGATGAATAGCATACTAAAACATTGTAATGCAGTTGCTGATGATACCTGGAGTATCTAAATAATATTATAAGTCATTCTAATACTTTATTTCTTTTTAGTATCTGTATAAAATGAATTTTTACATAAATGTAGTTGAAATAAAAACAGAGTTTCAGAGCTTCAAAAAATTATACACTAGAAGAAAGACTTGAGTTCTTTACACTTATTAGTATAGCATCAAATGTTAGTCGATTTTTGCCTAAAGTAACTGTTTTAAGTGAATGCAAATGGTGAAACCTTTAAGTAGATACTGAATAAAAATACAACATGCAATGCAATGCAATGGACCACTCTTCACAAGTAATCAACTACTAAGGAGTAATACAAAATGATTAATGCATGTGGAAACAATTAGATGATGAGAGAAAGGCAGGAACACAGGACCTCAGGAATCGTTCCTGCCATGCAAAGCAATGGCCCACTCCCCACAAGTATCCTTCAAGGTCAGCAGCAGTCCATATATGAGGTTTTTTAGCAGTGATGCCTCCGCCACGCATATTTCCCAGTGATGTATGAAATATAAGGTGGAAAGATTTAGGTTGAGTCTGAGCCTCTGACTGTATAGAGTTACCAGTTTTTTGAAGAAAAATGCGAAAGTCATGTCTGTGAAAAAATGGACGAAGCAATATCTGATGAGTAAGTAGCAAATATGGAATTGGTTTATAGAACAGAATATGAGCAACTACATATGATAGAGAGGTCACCGAATCGGTTATATAATGAGATTTCTTTAACAGGACATACACATAATAAGTCTTGAAATCAAATTGTGTTAGTGTTTTTGAAAGGCCGTCTGCCAATACTCTGTGGTGTAGCCACACTGAATTTTCTAAGAGGGTGTTTGCGAGTACATTGTAATTAAATTGCATAGATCTTTTCGAGAGGGTGTCTGCCTGTACCCTGCGGTCTAGCTGCACAGATCTTTTCAGGAGGGTGTCTGCCTGTACCCTGCGGTCTAGCTGCACAGATCTTTTCAGGAGGGTGTCTGCCTGTACCCTGCGGTCTGGCCGCACAGAAATTTCTGAGAGTGTGTCTGCCAGCACCCTAGCAACATGCTCAAAAGAGGTATCTTCTTCAATCAACATAATTTTCTCAGGTATCACAGTTCTTGATTGCCAACAATATAGTTTGCTTACATTAGAATTACAGTTTATAGTTAACTGTGACACAAGAAGGCCAGCTAGCATGAGCTGAAAGCACAAAAAGGCTGCTATTAGCAACCTCAGACAAATTTGATAGGCAAGCATGGTGGTGGTTGATACAAGAGATGTTGTGATGTGGCCAAAAAAATGACATAATGAACACAACAGAGCACGTGATCAGACTACAGCATTCACGTAACAAACTTTCAAGTCAGAGGTCTCAATATTTCTTATGCATATCAACAAACTATGATGCAAAGTACGCTCATAATATTCAAGATGCAAGCATCAGACAATTGTAACGACCAGGTATTTGAGAAGACAGCACCGTGCAATTTATTCTCCTTCAACAAAATACAGACCGCCATCAGATTGAGCGACACTGAGTCTGTCCCCAGCTTGGTTTTGTACTGGCTAGGGCTGTACAGGACAGCAACAAAAGAACCAAGAGGAACCTCATTATTCCAACGCGGGCAGGTGTCGCGCACTGAATTGAAAGAGAACTCATTATCTCGCTTGCGACTCTCAATGCCCTGGAAGAATACAGTGCAGTCATATACAACAACTAAGACTCAGACGTATCAGTGTTAAGATCAGAGAATATTGTAGAACAGACATACCATCATCCCAATGATCAAGTGTGCTAGGAACTTTCCCCTGCGGTAAGATAAAGCCAGCTGCATGCTTTCCATCAGCACTGGTAGAAGGGCCACCATGCCTGCCCGCGACAGCCTTGCTTGGAGAAGCCTTGCTGAGCATCTTGTTAAGTGATGTACTGCCAGCTAAAAAAAAAGAATAAGCAAAGTGAAAGAAGACATAAAACAGAATATCGGACGTACAATTGCCCGCATAGTCAGGATGCTCCAATGTAGATGGTCTGGTGGACATGGTGACACTGTTCTGATAGGTGTAAAGACCATAGTTGTCACCAATGAATGAGCCAAAGAATGCAACAGTCCACTCCCATTCTAGGCTCATCGGCACAATGTTGATATCTTTTGTCCACTTTGACATAGAATGTATCATACAAGAGGCAGCGACAGCGCTGAATGTTACAGCACCAAAGGTAATGGCCAGCTGACGAGCCCCCAGCCGGCTTTCCAAAGAACCTGTCATCTGATAGTTTTTTATATTTGCGCGTGCAGGATTGACAAACAGACCATCGCTGAAAGCGAAGGTGAGAGCCTTGATCAATGCGCTACGATGTAATATTAGACAAATTGCATCTGCTGCAAAGTGAAGTAGTGACTTACGGCTTGTTCACCTGATATCCCATAAAGCCGTCCAGCACACCAGTAGATGTCAGTGTATTGATAGGCTGATACGTGATCACATAGTAGGCGCTGCATATTATGAGTGAGAAAATGTAAAACAAGAGTAAAATATAACTTACAAACCGTCGAAAGGGAGGCAAAGTCTCGTAGGCACCAGCCTTGAGAAGAATCGGATCCATCAAGGTTATGGATGTGACCTGGCACTCAAAATTTTCCTCTCCTTCGTCAGTATCTCTGAAAACAGTATAAGTTAAAGCACAGAGGCGTGGAATGTATGTACTCATTCTAAAAGTTAAAACAAATATGGTTATTCTTAGAAATGCATCGGAACAAACAACGACACTTACATTGATCTCCATCTTTCCATCCTTTACGATTGCTTTACTAAGGTGGATATTAGAATCAATGAATATACCAGAAAATATTCATGTTTGCTTACGAGGGCAACAGTTTCTGAACATCTGAGCGTGAAGGCTGGTGAATGCTGTGGTACAAATAGGTTTTAGAATGTATCATATAACAATATAATTAAACATATTTACAGAACATCCTCGGTTTTGCCTTTAGATCCACTGGCAGATTTGGTTGGAGACAAGCGGATGCTATTCAATGAAATCAATAGACAGTTAGATACTTGTGCTATTAACATACTCGCAGTCTCTAGGATCGTATTGCCTTACTTGCAAGCAAAAATCTTGTCTCTCCTGCTCTGACATCTTTGTCATGGCAAGGCGCAGTAGGCTATGTAAGAAAGTGAGTTTAAAGTATAGGGAAGTGAGATAAGAAAATAACATACGTCATAACATCATAAGGATTAAGCTTGGATTGCTTTGTCGATGCTTCTGCTTCAGAGTCAGGCCTACTTTGCCTGTTACGACCTTTCTTAATAGGAGAAGATCTGAATAAAATAGTATAAAAATATAAGACGATAGTCAAACTGAAGTTACATACTGTTCCGGCTGTGCATCCTTGTCAGAATCACTGACATAAACTCGCTTGGTGGGTGTATGAGTCGCCTTTCCTTTGCTGTAGTAACATATGTATGAGTGAGTCTGAAAACAGTATAAATTGAACTACAAACTTGGGCGAAGGACTAATGGGAGTCGGCAAAAGAACGAATGCCTTATTCGCCTTCTTCTTCGGAGTCTCGGTAATTTCGGGTTCATTGATTGGTAGGGCCGCATCACTACAAGATACTCAAACTTGAAGAATAGAAAGACAAAAGACTACAGCGTACCTCTCCAAAGACTGCTCGACATCGGAGTCATTGTCCATGAATACATCCTTCAGCTTAGCACTACACACATTATAAACAGCGACTCAAGACTCAGTAACAAAATACTTACCTAGCGATCTTGGCAGCGGTACGACCGGACATGCATGAAGCACTTGGATAAATCAGAGGATTAAACTAGTTTCTATCAGCAGTATCAGAAAGACATACAGATTGGTTTTATCATCGTTGCTGCTCTCGACGACCTTCTGATACTTACCAGCTTTATGAGAAGAACTAACGCAGATAGTCAGCTTTTGAATAGACATGTTGTATGAGTCACACACTTTACTGCCATATCCTCATCGCTGTTGTCTATGGTCTGGTTGTTCTTACCACCTTTGTGAGGGATAGTGATTGCCTTCTCCCTGTGATCATCGGCTGAACATATAATCAAAAACAATGTAAGCTGCACGTACCTTGTTACTGTATCCTCATCACTATAGTCCATCATGTTTTTGGCCTTCACATTACGAGGCATAGGCACTACAGCTTTGGGAGTTGACCTGAGTCGTATTAGAGAGATGTCACAACATTGAAATCAAACATGTACTTTACTGCAGTTATCTTCTGCTTTGAAGGTGAGGTCTCATCCATCTCAACACTGTTTATATAAAATCATATTGCTATCATGGCATGAAGTAAAACACTCACTCAGAGTCAGCGACCATCTTATCAGACTTGATTGACTTTCGGCCAGCAGTACGACCACAGTTCCTAGAATGAAACCTATCAAGAGGCTACAAACACCAGCAGTATAGTGGAACACACTTAGTAGGAGTTGAATTGGTGCGAGGAGGCATTGTTAAAAGACAAGAGGATACAAAGGATAGGTTGAACGTCGATGAGAGCATAAGGTCATTAGTCTTTATACAATTTAAATACAGCTGATGTAAATAGAATATAGTGTATGATGATCTTGAATATTAGATCTTTGAGGAGGAAATTTTGTTGGGGATGATTGTCCCACTATTTTCAAGTATTTTCAAGTATTATACTGGCCAGTAGGAAAGCGACAGAAGCCCATGTACTATATAAAGAACATCTGGAGGGTGAATGAATTATCACATGATAGGGAATATATTGCACCTTGGACGTTTTAGGGCATCCAGACTATTATTGTCTCCTTAGCTACATCATACGATATCAAGTTGAACAGCAGCATTGGATTTATCATATCAAAGAAAACATTCACCTCTTAGTTTACTCTTCATCTATCCAACAATATTGGCATCACACCGTCATTACAGTATATTCAAGATGGCCGTGGAATTTATGAGAAACAATGCGGAAAAGTATAGTAAGTTAGACGGCTTCCACTTGCTGCATAAAACTCACAACATATTTGTAGAGCAGTTGTTAACCAAAGTTATTGAGGGACAAAGTCAAGGTGGTAATGCTATGCATCAATTAATCAACATGGCCAAGGTAAGAGTTTATACAGTTAATGATGAATAAGTCACTCACAAAGGGCACAGCCTGACTACGCTCGAGTAACAACACAAGTCTTTAGTCAAGAAGACAGCAAGACTCAGCTGAATCTGATATGGCCATACAATAGCATTGAGGACAGCGAGCCAGAGGATGCAGTTCTTCACGTGCAAGGATTTCTTTGCAAAAAGGACTTGCCACCAATTGTGCGAAATGATCAGTAAGCGTCATTGTCTACATGTACAAAAATACGACTCACAAGATATCAGGCTCCCTTCAAAGCTCTTCAGAGCAAAGATATCAGGCTCCCTTCAAAGCTCTTCAGAGCAATGCAGTCTGTGAAATTATCGGGACTCGGTTCTCCGACCTTTGCAGAAGCAGTCAAGGGTGTTATTGCCATTCATCAGCTGTTTGCTCAACATCTCGATAAAGGCATGCTCATCCCATAGAGTCCAATACGAGAACATGATGAACTTGTGTTAGAGTTCTCCAATCGGTACCTTTCTTTTACGCGAGACATGGAGGACGACAATGAGATCCTGATTGGAAACGACATTGATCCGTTTGGCATCCTAAGAAGCGGTATTCGAGATGAGAAGTATCTTACAAACAATGTTGTTCAATACTTTGAACGTATCACCAGGCCTTCAGGAGAAACAAGGTGAGTGAATGTTTAAAATGATGCAGAACACAAATGCTGACTATCATATATAGCATTGTTGTCGTAAAGCCATCAGTTATCCAGGAAGGTCAACTCGTAGAGCTTCAGGTCACCTTTTGCACTGTGCCAATATCGAAGAGACGCATGCTCATGTTGAGCAAGTTACAATCGATCTGCATTCTGGATCGTCAAGTGCTGTCAGTAAGAAGGTAATCAAATGGATCGGATAGATCAAATGCTGACGTACCTCTATTCCAGGATCGCAACCATGTTATTATGAACTCGCTGGTCACACCTATATTGCCAATTCGAAGGGTCAAGCATAAGATAGGCTATGATGAAGACGACTCCACGATTGGAGGCATCAAACGTTTACGTCTTGACACTGAGAATTGCGAGAAGAATATGGACACAAATTCTGAGTAGAATTCACATTTGTTAGCTTAGTTATTGTAGTCATGAATAGCTCACTCACCATCATTCAGTAATGTATATCCTATTTAATCATGCTGCAAACAGATACAAATCATGACAAATTGTAAGCAACATGACTCTACAAAAGAGGCAGAGATAACATTGTAAAATGGAAGAAACTCGGTAAGTCAATAGAAGTATCCATCCAAACTTTGCATAAAGGGCCAAGCAGCAGGAGAATAATCATTGTCTGGGTCACACTCATACTCTGGCATACCCCAAGTCGTCAGCTCATCTGGATCTGTCCGATGACCTCGAATGTCTTCATCAACTGCGCATCATCCATATTCGACAATTCCATTGATCGTACGATGTCCAGTGAATTGAGAGCCATTGAAGCTCTCATGATCTGGCATGTTATGAAACATACTGAGCTCAGAATGAGCAACGTGTAAACATCGAAGCTGTGGAAGTTCCTGGAATAAATAGTCGGTGATTATTCTTTCTTCCTGTGCAACGGCAGGTCGATCTGGATTAATAGCGCGTTGGATACCTCGAACCGACTTTGGAAGAGTGAGCGATAGTGGCTGAATGGTGAATGGAGTGTCGATAATAAGAACACGTAGCTGAGAAAAGAGCGATAGCTCGAATGTGAATTGTTCAATATCATGCCATGGTCGGTGAGTATCCAGAATGTTAATATTCTATTGAATTTATCAGCTAAGATCCACAAAGACGAGAATACCACGCACCATCGCCTCTTCCTCATCCAACTCCCTGTTCTGCTGATCTATCAGTCTGATCTTCTCAATCTCAGATCCTTCTACATTCCACCACTGAGCAAAATGTGTGATCACCGCAGAGCAGGCCATATCGGAGATGGCAATGTTGAGCTCTTTGAAGTATCTTATAAAGGGAGTGATCTCTCGAGCTCTACGTTGAACAGCCAGACTGTTGTCTAACTCGTCCATATGAACACCCAACTGATAAATGCGAAGAAAGTTGCAGTGAGTTTGAGATTGTCCTCCGCTGAGTGCGCATTTGCAAAGCTGTTGTTCGTAGTCCTCAATAGCCTGGAAAAGATCGAGGAGATGTTCAAGATCTGGAACATCAATTGCAGACAAAGGTAAAGGGTTAAGGAAGCCTTGAAAGAATGAACGGCAGACACGACGGAGTTCTAGATGCCAGTGGTGTTCAGCTGAACCGTGTTCAATCTGTGATCAGTCTTTGATACAGTCAGAACTTGAAGCAATGTGCTTCAAGATTTCTGGCGGCATTGTTGCAAAGTTGCCCATGGTAAATGACAAAAGAGACGATAAACAAACATAAGCACTGATCGGCTGAATTCCTTAAACACATGATGTGCATTAACAATGATATTGTACATTCAACTACAATTCTACTGTATGTTCAAGTAGTAATTTATCTTTTTATCTCTGTGTACATGAGAAAAATAGAGGGGAAGGAAGGATAGAAGAAAAAAGTCATGTTCAATGTCTACCCAAGCATACATTATCTTCTGATCATAAGCACACCTACCTTAGACCATTCCATCTGTGAATCCAAATCGTAAGGATCGGGATACACCTCTGTGTGATCTTGTCCATCAAAGGAATGAGGATCATATCGATGCCCCTCGTACAGGCTAGAGTCCAAAGCCTCTATAATTTCAAACCTATCACCAATCGTACGCTGCACCAACACTTCTCTCCCATGAGACTCTCCATCTGAACTTCACACATCAAGTGGATCCCAGCCAGCATAGGATAGGAAGATTCGTCGCAATGAAGGTATAGCATCATACCATGTATATGCTAGATCGTGCTCTCGACCTTCATAGTCGAAAGTACCTGTCGCAAAGAAGGCAGGGAGTTCAGAAATGGTGGCTGGCAGAAGTGGAATGAGATACACAAAAAGTCGTGAGTTGATGGCCACCATTCGAAGACGATGACATTTTGCAAGACAGACGAGAAAAAGAGAATTTGTCCAAGGAGTTGGTGCTGTAAGCTGGGTGATATCATTCTATAATAAGTATTAGCAATGTCAATGTCATAGTATTTATAATGCTACTCACAAAATCACTGAATCGTCATACAAACGAAAGCGTTCGAGAGAACATTGGTTCTCTGGCCACCAGGATATCAAGTGATCTACAATGACATCCCCCTGCGACAGGACATGGCTGTCCCCAATGATGTAGTTCAGCTCAGAAAGGCGACCCATAAGTCTAACTGCCATCTGTGCCAAGCCCCAACCAACAACAGTGAGATCACACTCGATCTGGAGCAGATAGATGTCAAGGAAGTTTCGGTGGGTTCATTGATTGCTCATGGTATCACCATACACAAGGGAACAGTGACAGCATGTCATTTCAAAAGTAATGATGTCATGAAAGAGCTCCTGAAGAGAGTCGGCACTCGTGATGTGAATGGCTGCAGGCAGAGGTGTCACCTCGCGGTAGAAAAAGGGATCCACGGTTCGAAGGGAGAGCTGCCAAGATTTTGTATCATGGTCCACATCAGACCAAGGGATCACCACCTCCTCCAGCACCATACACAGAATCTCTGAAGACAAAGTCATGGTGGTGGTTGCAGAAAGCAGTCGATTATTGATTATAAGTGTCAACAGGTAGACTTTGATGGTTTGTTATTGTTCACAAAATATATATTCAAGACAGGGAAATCACAACAAAAAAAATCAATGCAGCTAAAATACCAAAGCAAGACTGATATATATTAATTAATGTGTACTGTACAGATACTGGTGTAATCTAATATAGGGTGCTACATGTATATCTAAGAGACTGAAGTGGGGGCCTCATTCTCATTGCCTAGCACACCATTAGGCCTGACTTGGCTTGTGTGCAACGCCTGAGGCAGGTCAAGAGGTCGAGGAGTCCGGTGATCATGCATCGAAGGTCAACAATGTGGAACGAGGCTCCTGCAATTGAAGCGAGGGCCTCATTTATGTCACCCAGCACGTCCTCGTGCCAGGCTGCTTGCATTCGTCGCCGGAGGGTGGTGGTGAGGAGTGGGGGATGTTATCGGGCGGGCCGACGTTGAGGGTCCTGGATGATGAACAAAGCCCCCGCGATTGAAGCGGGGGCATCGTCGGTGTCCTCCTCCATGCCCTCTTGCGGGGCATGGCGCGCATTCCACCGTGCAGGGCGGTGGAAGGGCAAGGGAGGCAGAGAGGTGGTGGTGGGTCATGCCACGGGTCGCACGATAACAACAACGAAAATGGCCCCCCGCAGGGGTGTCGTCGGTGTCCTCCTCCATGCCCTCTTGCGGGGTATGGTGCGCATTCCACTGCGCAGGGCAGTGGAAGCGCGAGGGAGGGGGAGAGGTGGTGGTGGGTCCAGGCCGTGCATCGCATGACGACAACGATGAAAACGGCCCCCACTCTTGATGCGGGGGCATCATTCATATCGCCCTGCATGCCCTCTTGCAGGGCATGGCGCGCATTCCACCGCGCAGGGCAGTGGAAGTGCGAGGGAGGGGGAGGGGTGGTGGTGGGTCCGGGCCATGCATCGCACGATGACGATGACGAAAACGGCCCCCGCTCTTGATGCGGGGGCATCGTTCGTATCGCCCTGCATGCCCTCTTGCAGGGCACACCTTGCGTTCCATCGCGCCGGGTGGTGGAAGGACGAGGGAGGTTGGTCAGTAGGGATCTGCATGGGATGGTGCGAACTACGCACCAAAACTCCATTCACGCGGGGGTGTCATCCAAGACCTCTGGCATGCCCTCTTGCTTGGGACATCCTCCGGATGGTGGCGTGGGGTGGAGGAGGACCGAGGGACAGCAGGAGGAGGAGGCCGGTGTAGGGACTTAGAGGATTCTGCGCGGTTGACAGGCGCTTTCCCAGTCACCTTAAATTATAGCTCCGCTCCAATATTTATCCCAATTCGGTAATTTCCTCAGCCACCAGAGCGCTGAGAACGAAAAAAGTGTCGATGCGCTCGATTTTCTGGATCGCATCAACACTTTTTTCGTTGTCTGCTCATCCGCAGTCTCCGCTACCTCTCGAATGTGGCGCCCACACTCGCAAACTCGACACAAAGTCTTTCCCTCCTGAACCTCCTTTGATATCGGCCTTCTATCTGTCCTGTAGAGTGCTTCTTTACATCTGGTGAGTGAATCTTGTCGTAATGCTTCTGATTCCATTGAATACTGACCTTAAATTCCATGACTGTAGAATGCTAGCATCAACAATGTCTTCTCTCGGTGTGTTGCCATTGTTTCCCTTTATTGCTGCAGTCTTTGACCCAGCCGAGGATTATAGACCCTATTACTGGTCCACTTGTGCACCACGGTGAACTTGTGAACATTCCTAACTGACACAAGATGCATCCTCACCTCTTTGTGGTGAACGACCATCCCAAGAACCCCTTTCCTGGAGTTGGGACGGTGTATGTATATGTCCAGGATACACATGTAGAGGTGATGGAAAAGTTATTCGATTGGGCTGGGAAGTAGCAGTTGCCGGGGTTGACAGCTGAGCAGGCTCGATTGGCTGGTGCGTAAATGTTTCCGTTGTTCCTTTGCTCTTCTGATTCTGTTATATCAGGCTATGTTGAGATGAAGCCTGGAGATTCTGTGTTTGCTAGAGATATGTGGGGATCTGGACAACCAGTGGATGATGTGATTCAGGCGTGGTACGTGCCCAGGTTTGTAAGCCTTTAATTTTCTGATAATACGCTCACGTGATTGATTTTATCTGCAGTTACAAGATACGGAAGGAACTTATCGATGCGATTATCGACTCTCGCGATGAGCCCAAAAGAATTGCATACAGCTGATAAGGCTGTCAAGGTCAGTGATTTTAAGTGACAATGTAAAGTAGATCGAGTAGAATAGCTGATCATATATATTGTCAAGCTTGGTGATAGCTATACTGGAGGTATCTAATGGGAACGTGATCCAAATGCCATTCACGTGTCAACTTCCAAGTGTTGCTATACCTTGGGCCAATCCTTCCAGGGGCCTCGTAACCTTGCATCTCCCTCTCCTGGTGCTAAAGTATACGGTGACGTGTTGACACCACATCAGCAGATGCGTAAAAGGGCTGTACAGGTGCGTTCTTAATCATACTAAAGCATGCAGCATATTAATCGTAGTGAAGGCATCTACTAAAGTTGCCATACAGTGTCTTGAGACTGGACCTCCAGAGGTATCAGAGGTGTTGAAACGCAATGCCGATGTAAAGAATTTGCCACCATTGGGGGCCAATGACAGTCAGATATTTATAACTACGCTTATCCGACTGTGCAGTTGAATATTTTGTCCACAAAAAATGAGGACGAGTATGCAGGCGTATTATATTTTCTTCTTTAATGCTCATGCATATTAATAAGAATCATAGAGAGCAACTTCCAAGAAGATCTTGGAAAATTTGCAGGCAATCACATCGATAAAGGTGACTGGCCTGGTGCTTACACGGTTATGATTGGGGCTTCTGATCTTGGCCCTGATGACTATCCTGGCATCTTCTGCTTATTTGACATTGGAATTTTTGTGGAAATGGGCAATATTCCTTTGCTTTGCTTTGGAGGTGTACGCCATCATGGTGGCACTCCTCCTACTTCTTCTGACCCTTCCGGTGATTCTTACTGAGTGGCATTTATCAACTATCCTCCAAAGAGTCAGATGGAGGGTCATGCTCTTCTTGGACTTGCAGCCATGCCTGATCACAAGCTGCTGACTTTACGGCCCGAAATGATTGACCCGCGGTGAGTACATATATATATTTTCCGCTTTTTTTATGTTTTGCTAAGTGACGTATAGTTATGACAATACGGACATCGTCTATATAAATGAGGCCAACTGGGCGACCGACAGCTTGGCATTGAGTGATCCCAAAGCCTTTTTTCGCTTTTATACAAGAGGCATCACCCAGTACGCGCATTTCCTTCTTCGTCAGGTGCCTTCCACGCTTAAGGCGAAGATGGACGTTAACAAGTTCCTGGACACATTTTCAATGGAGGTTGATGGTGAACATGTTACACCTGGCCCTTGAGAGCTTGGTCCTGGTTCTACTGCATACTCGGAGACTTTTGAAACTACTCGCGCTGATGCGGTGAAGTCTTGGGACCATCTAGCAAAGACTCGAGCTGCATTTATTCCTTATCTTGCTGGAAAGAAGAAGGGAGGGGCTGGTAGTGACTCTGACTCTGATGAGGAGCCCGCAGCAACTGGTGATATTGAAGCAGTCATCGTGCCTGCTAAGCCAAGTGGTCGACCTTGTACGTTTTTTTTGTTTGAACTCAAGTATTAGTGACTGATTGCTGTTCTGTAGTACCTAAGAGTCTGTATTGATATCACTCATTTCTGCATTACGTTCTAATTTGTTTGTGATTATAGAAAATTCCAAGAAGCGTCCTCGAACTAACTTACAGCCCAATTTGGATGCTTCTCAACCAAAGAAGATGTGCAAGGATTATGCAACTGGTATGCTTTACTTTTATTGTTTCTGCTTATATCTAATACTGGTTTTCAGAGGTTGGGTTACAAGATATGCTGAAAACTATCGGGCGTACTCAGACAATCGATTTATCGACCAAGACTAAGCGTCGCAGCAAGCGTTTGGCCACTAGACATGAATCCTCGGACACAGACAATGAGCAAGAATACTTGGGCCTCGTTGGTGGTGGCCATGATAATGGTGATGATGGAATGGATGTAGATTTGTCTGGTGCACAGAAGGGTGTAAGGTGTAGCAGTCGCCTTGGTGGAAAGTCGGGTGTATCGTCTCGTTAGTGTTTATATATCTGAACACCTTGTATACAATACTAAATTTATATTCCACTCAGACATCGAGCAGCATGTTTCTGATGGCTATGAGCCTGACGAGGATGACGATGATGAAGACAACTATGATCAAGAGCCCAGGAACACTGAACAGACACCTCAGACTCGAAAGAAGAAACAACCTTCACACAAAGTCTTGGCATCTTTCTATGTTTCTGATGAATCTGTAGAAGAGGGAGAGCAAGGTATGTTTAATGTATTTGTTTATTCTTCATTCAACTTATGCCTGCAGTAGACCAAATAAACAGTGACCAAGTGACAGAAAGTGAAAATGATTCAGACACTGATGACACTGGTGCGTTTTTTGACTGGATTAATATAATGTTATTTTGCTTATTTGTTTATAGTTCATGCGGCGGTGCTCTCACTCTTCAAAAAGTGGAACATCAAGGCATCTCATTCAGAATTCAGTAATATTCTCCAAGGCATTCAACAGCAGTCTCATCAAAAATACGTCACTGCTCAGCAAAAGCTCACTCGTTTCCTTAACAAGTTCAATGGTCAGCAGCGTCCCAATGCTCAGTTTGCAGTTTCCATCTCTCAAATATGGGAGTCAATGGAGGTTCTCTCTATCAAAGGCAAAGCCATCTCATTGGAGAACATTCTTGCGCAGAAGCAGATTATGCTGTCTAATGGTGTTGCCTGGAATTGGCTGAACATCATCTGTCTCCGGCGTTGTCAGAAACTCTTTGAACCTCTTCATGCAAGGAAACTTGTAACCTCATCCGATTGGTTTACCTCTCTTACTATCAAGATCTACCAGCACTTCGAGATTTCTCGCCGCTCCAGTGACACACTAAATCCCTCGACTTATCTTCCTGGTCTTTCAAAGTCAATTCAACCTTGGAAGTTGCCTGTTAATGCTCTTAATGGTGATGAGCTGGAGACTCGTGTTCTCAGCACACTGCGCTCAGTCCTATGCAGTTGGCTTGGTTATCCAAATGATACCTCGATGATGCGAGGTGTCTTCGTGACTCAGATCATACAGACATTTCATTCTGAGAATGTTTTACTCCTTCAAGGCGTATGGTGCATATATTCTGAAATCAAGGCGAAGGTCTTGGGTCCTTCTTTCAAAGGATTGCGTCCACACTCCCTATGCCCTAATATGCTGGATACAATCTTTGACAAGCTCTCCAGCCTGCCACTTGCTAGCCTGGAGTCCAAGGAACATTCTTTGTTGGAAGACATAGGAGATTTGGTGAAGAAGGCCCTGGAGCTCATTTCATACCCTGGTGGTAAACCCACTGCCCCTACACCAGTAGCGACTTCCATTCCTTCTGGAACTGCATCCACCTCTCAGATTCCAACCCACCAGGGACTCCAAAGCCTTCTTGACTTTGTGTTGGAGCTGATTCCTCTGGTGGATTCTACAACAGCATTTCCTTCCACTAGAATCCAATCGCTTGTACTCCAACAGCTTGACAAGCGTCTTCCCTTCTGCAAGTGCGCACCAAGCAAGTCACGTGTCAGTGGACTTGATGGACCGCTTCACCCAGACAATATCGACAAGCCTGGTGCATTTGTAAGTGCTTGTATATTCTATGGAATCACCTTTGGTTGTCCCGTTGTTCAAGAGAAGCCAACCTATTTTTCCACAGAAGCAGCGTGGGAGGAGATGCTTCTCTCTTGTCCTCGTGATTCATCTGGCAATATTCGCAAAGGCTATCTCTGCGACAAGACTGCATACAGTTCCTGTATTAGTGGTCGTGATCCAAAGCGCGCCCACGACTACTTCATCACAAAGGAATACTTTCACAGATTTTTTGGAGACGGAGGGTAAAGATGGCCAGATTGGCTTCACACAATTTTACACCTGGGTGACTAGGTCTATGTGAACTGATCGCAAGAAGATTCTACCCCAGATGAGCGGTTTAATCTGTCTGCTCTTGGCAGCTGATCTTTGCTATGCAGGCAAGGTCAGAATGCCAGATGTCGATGAGATGGCCAAGGTGGTTGCTCATGTGGAGAAGGGTGCTATTGTTGGTCTATCTCTTTGTTCATTGACATCTGCAGGATCTAGTGTGGAAGAAGTTGAAGAGGCATTTAAGATGACATACTCATTTGTGGACGCTCATCTCACTGTTGAACAGAAGAAACCTATTGGATTTGATCCAATTATGACAGAACATTTGCTCTGTAAGTTCCAGTGAGTAGATAGGGTAGCAAGTAGAAAATCTTGACCGTTGTAGATACTTTGTAGTGGTCAAGTCAATATATACAGAATGTAATAGTCACAGATAATATTCTGAGGTCTCCACTGGCAGCTGCACTTTAGAACAGCTTCTTTACCCATCATTTTACATTGGAATAGCAGCAGATCAAGCCCCAGGTTGTTCATTTAGGTGAGTTCTTCATCCTCCTAGCTTTCCTTCTCCTCCTGACCCCAAACTCTCTTTACTGCATTTATCTGAGCATGGATTGTAGATTTGACCTTCTTCCCGTGTTTTGGGGATAATGTAGGTGAATATAGACCTCTGGATTGTCCGGTGTGTCCCTGTATTCACTGTTCTCACTTATTTTCTGTGAGCCAGACAATTAAATCAAAACTATATTCTAGGCTTCCAACCAAGGGCTGTACTTTGGAATGGATGATTAACCCATTATTGTACATTGGAATAGTACCAGATCAAGCCCTCATTTGTCCATTTAGGTGAGTTCTTCATCCTCCTAGCTCTCCTCCTCTTCCTGACCCCAAACTCTCTTTACTGCATTTATCTGAGCATGGATTGTAGATTTGACCTTCTTCCCATGTTTTAGGGATAATGTAGATAAATATAGACCTCTGGATTGTCCGGTGTGTCCCTGTATTCACTGGTCTCACTTATTTTCTGTGAGCCAGCCAATTAAATCAAAATTATATTCTAGGCTTCCAACCAAGGGCTGTACTTTAGAACGGCTTCCTTGCCCATCATTATACATTGGAATAGCAGCAGATCAAGCCCCAGGTTGTCCATTTAGGTGAGTTCTTCATCCTCCTAGCTCTCCTCCTCTTCCTGACCCCAAACTCTCTTTACTGCATTTATCTGAGCATGGATTGTAGGTTTGACCATCTTCTCATGTTTATGATATAATGTAGGTCAATGTAGACCTATGGATTGTCCAGTGTGTCTCTGTATTCATTGTTCTTACTTCTTTTCTCAGACTGACCCAGTTTAATTTATTTTATATTACAGTATGTTAACTGACCACAGTCGTACCACTGCATAATGTGACCCAAGTGTCAAATCACATCAACAATGAGATGAATGGTAGAGAGATTTCCGTGAGTACTAATATGATGGTCCGCACACCGGAACATCTTACTATACATTTTTGATCAACACAGTGGAGGGTGTGACCTGTGACCTCAAGGATCCAAACCGGCCAACTGGCAGGGCCAGGTGTAACCAAGGACAGGATGTAACATAGTGGCAAGGTGGTGAGGTAGTGGCATCGGAGGTGCTGGCATATAGCGAGTGCAACAATCATGTAGCTGTGGGATGTAGCTGTTCTGTAGCCGGTGGCTGCTGCTTATAACACATGTTCAAAATCCGGCAGGCCACTGGCCTTGTCACATATGACCTGTGAGGTTGGTCAAAAATGTACATGATATGCATCTGTGAAACTAAAGCAAGTTTTCCGATCAGGAATTGTAGGATTTGTTTAAGAGAACCTCTGCACCATGTTATTTAGTATAAAAATTGTGAGTAATACAACTAAAACTGCCCAAAAAAATACATGTTTAAGGTCAACTGCAACAGGGAAAGCACTGGGACACCTGAGCACTATCGTTTATCTAATCTAAGTGCTTCAGCCACTCATCTGTTGACAGTGCTTTGTACAAGTCGCGTTGGTTTTCAATACAACTTTTTTTGAATGTCCGCCTATAGTTACATTGTAGTCGAGTAAGTAGCTGTTAGAACATTTGTAGATGGAGCTTAACCCTAACCCTTGTGGCATTCCTACAAACTCAGCACTAACCCTAGGTGACGCATACAAAATTTGTAGTCAAAAACCATTCCCACGGTTTGGGAAAAACGTCGTGACAGTATAAGCGCCCTCTAGGGCTCATCCTGTATAAGAACGATTCCTTCGTACCTCAGGAATCGTAACTGATAAATGCAAAGAAAGTTGCAGTGAGTTTGAGATTGTCCTCCGCTGAGTGCGCATTTGCAAAGCTGTCGTTCGTAATCCTCAATAGCCTGAAAAAGATGGAGGAGACGTGTAAGATTCAGAACATCGATTGCAGACAAAGGTAAAGGGTTAAGGAAGCCTTGAAAGAATGAACGGCAGACACGACAGAGTTCTAGATGCCAGTGGTGTTCAGCTGAACTGTGTTCAATCTGCGACCAGTCTTTGATACAATCGGAACTTGAAGCGATGTGCTTCAAGATTTCTGGTGGCATTGTTGCAAAGTTGCCCATGGTAAATGACAAAAGAGACGATAAACAAACATAAGCACTGATCGGCTGAATTCCTTAAACACATGATGTGCATTAACAATGATATTGTACATTCAACTGCAATTCTACAGTATGTTTGAGTAGTAATTTATCTCTTTATCTCTGTGTATATGAGAAAAATAAAGGGGGAAGGAAGGATAGAAGAAAAAACTCATGTTCGATGTCTACCGTCCAAGTCTACATTATCTTTTGATCATAAGCACAGTTACCTTAGACCATTCCATCTGTGAATCCAAATCGTAAGGATCGGGATACACCTCTGTGTGATCTTGTCCATCAAAGGGATGAGGATCATATTGATGCCCCTCATAGAGGCTAGAGTCCAAAGCCTCTATAACTTCAAACCTCTCACCAATTGTACACTGCACCAACACTTCTCTCCCATGAGACTCTCCATCTGAACTCCACACATCGAGCGGATCCCAGCCAGCATAGGATAGGAAAATTCGTCGCAATGAAGGTATAGCATCATATCATGTATATGCTAGATTGCGCTCTCGACCTTCGTGGTCGAAAGTACCTGTCGCAAAGAAGGCAGGGAGTTCGGAAATGGTGGCTGACAGAAGTGGAATGGGATACGCAAAAAGTCGTGAGTTGATGGCCACCATTCGAAGACGACGACATTTTGCAAGACAAACGATAAAAAGAGGATTTGTCCATGGAGTTGGTGCTGTAAGCTGGGTGATATCATTCTATAATAAGTATTAGCAATGTTCATGTCGTAGTATTTATAATGCTACTCACAAAATCACCAAATTGTCAGTAGTCGTACAAACGAAAGCGTTCGAGAGGACATTGGTTCTCTGGCCACCAAGATATCAAGTGATCTATAATGACATCCCCGTGCGACAGGACATGGCTGTTTCCAATGATGTAGTTCAGCTCTGAAAGGCGACCCATAAGTCTAAGTGCCATCTGTGCCAAGCCCTGACCAATGACGGTGAGATCACACTCGATCTGAAGCAGATAGATGTCAAGGAAGTTTCGGTGTGTTCGTGGATTGCTCATGGTGTCGCCGGACATGAGGGAACAGTGACAGCAAGTCGCTTCAAAAGTAATGATATCATGAAAGAGCTCCTGAAGAGAGTCTGCACTGGTGATGTGAATGGCTGCAGGCGGAGGTGTCACCTCACGGTAGAAAAAGGGATCCACAGTTCGAAGGGAGAGCTGCCAAGATTTTGTATCATGGTCTAGATCAGACCAAGGAAGCACCACCTCCTCAAGCACCATACAGAGAATCTCTGAGGTCAAAGTCATCGTGACGGTTGTGAAAATTAGTCAATCATTGATTATAAGCCACTCAATCAAGTTGACTTTTAAGGTTTGTTGCCCTTCACAATATATATATTCAAGAAGACAGGTAAACATGAAGAAAAAAAGTAAACTGTGCAAAAATACCAAAGCAAACAACAGACTAATATATATTAATTAACATGGACCATATGGAAACTGGGCCAATGTAATCTAAGGTGCTGTATATCTACGAGATCAGCCCCCATTTGGTCACATTTGTGCTGTTTGGCTCGTCCACATGTCCAGCAATGTGCATGTTCGACACCTGAGCGGGGTTGAGACACCGAGCAAGGCACCAGTGGTGGCCATTGTTGTATAACAATACCCCAGTTACCTGGGGGAAGAATTGTTCACTACTCACCAGTTATTGTCAATTGTCAAAGTTATTGTTAACAACAGTCTGAGAGGATTGTAATACAATAACAACTTGTACAAAACAACTTACACTCAGCCAGGGTTAAACCCTGGTCTTACGAACACATGATTACATAAGCACATGCCGCACACACAATCTACCAACTGCTCCATTGGGCCATGCATTTTGCTCAGCCTCAATTCTATATAAGGCTACTGCCTTCTCTAATATACATATTAGAATCTTTTGTAATAACTACTATATCCTGTTGTTACTGTTGCTTCTAATAGATATTTGCCTACATTTTTCTATTTATTTCACCTCTCTAATAGCTTTATTACATCTATAAATTTTGATATTACAGTTTTAATCTTATTTGAATATTTACTCAACTAAAAAGGAAATGCTTAATATTAGGCACTCAAAAACTTATTAACAGAGACATCAATCACTGCTAGAAGCAACAGTAACAACAGGATATAGTAGTTATTACAAAGGATTCTAATATGTGTATTAGAGAAGGCAGTAGCCTTATATAGACAATTGCATTTTCAGTAGAGGGACCTAATGGAACAGAACTTTTTAATTTATGTAGCATTGTACTGAAATATGAAGAGAAATACCTCTCAAGGACACTTACCTGTCAGCATTGTAAGAGGGATCAAGAATCAGAAGGAGATGATGCTGTATTATGGGATTGTACAAGGGCAGCATGGAAAGAGTCCACAAAAAAATGGGATCATATAAGAATCGACCCATTGCAGACTGGCTTGAGCCACTGCTTCTGAAAAAGACATCTATTGCATGTGTACGATGTAATCATAGGCTAAGGCTGAGTATTGCCTTTGAGTCCATGCTCGATTTTGTGGTGTTTCAAATAAGCGGTGTTAAAGTTCGCCTTGATAAGACTATAACCATAGGTACTGAAAATACGGAGTACAGATTATGTGGAATGATATACTATGGTAGCTTTCACTTTACAGCACGAGTAGTTACAAAAGATGGACAGGTCTGGTACAATGATGGAATGACCACTGGTCGCCTGTGTAAGCTAGAAGGT